GGTAGATAAACTTTTGACAGATAATGTAATAGTTGATTCCCACTCACCTTGGAGTGCGCCCGTTCATTTGGTGCCAAAGAAATTAGATGCAACTGGAGAAAAAAAATATAGGATGGTCATCGACTATAGACGTCTCAATGAAATAACCGTAAACGACAAATATCCATTGCCAAATATAACAGATATTTTCGATAAAATAGGCAAATCCCAATATTTTAGCACCATAGACCTGGCCAGTGGTTACCATCAAATTGAAGTAAACGAAGCAGACAGGGCAAAAACGGCATTCACCACACAGACAGGACATTACGAATTCAAAAGACTCCCGTTCGGGCTCAAGACAGCTCCTGCAACATTCCAGAGGGCAATGGACAACGTGCTACGAGGACTTCAGGGTATACATTGCCTGGTATATCTTGATGACATCATAGTGTTCTCTAACAGCCTGCAAGAACATATCGACAAACTCAGGAAAGTTTTTTGATCGACTCAGGGAAACCAATCTCAAAGTTACCTTAGATAAATGTGAATTCCTACGAAAAGAAGTTCTATACCTTGGACACACAATTACGAAAGACGGCTTAAAGCCCAATAACGACAAGATAGAAGCTGTATTGAAATTCCCACTACCACGAACGTCTACTGAAATTAAGAGTTTTCTTGGATTGGTAGGTTACTACCGGAAGTTTATAAAAGACTTTGCTAAAATCACGCAACCTCTTACATCATGTCTAAAAAAGAAAAATAGAATTGACTGTACAAAAAAAGAATACATAGACGCATTTGAAAGATGCAAGGAGCTCTTGACAAACGCACCGCTCTTACAATTTCCAGACTTCTCCAAACCATTTATTCTTACAACGGACGCCTCGAATTACGCAATTGGTGCAGTACTATCCCAAGGACCTATAGGCAGCGACAAACCGGTAGCTTACGCGAGCCGTACTTTGAATGACGCAGAAACACGCTACAGCACGATCGAAAAGGAATTCCTAGCAATAGTGTGGGCCACAAAACATTTCAGACCTTACCTTTACGGACAAAAATTTATCATATATACCGACCACAGACCACTTATGTGGGCCAAGTCAATATCAGAACCGAATAGCAAGTTAACAAGATGGAAACTGCGGCTTGCGGAATTTGATTATGAAATAAAACATAAGGAAGGAAAACAAAATTGTAATGCCGACGCTTTATCAAGAATCAAGGTGAACGCGTTAAGTGAAGACGACGACGCGTCAATGCAGGTGAACGTGGATGAAAAGGAGCAAAAACTCAAACGCTATATTGCTGAATTAACTAGTGAAATAGAAAAATTGAATCAGAGGAATGCAGCATCTACGTCACATGAAAGCTCACCGACCCCGATAGAAATTTCATCCGACTCCGATGAGAATACCTTATCCATCCAGAGCAAGAGTAGACAATCTCCATACTCCATACCGACTACAAGTAGTACTGCAACTGCATCTGAAGGACGAGATGATATGAGTACCATAGATACAATTCATTCAGCAAAAGATCTTGATACAGATGGTATGCTTATATTACAGGAAGCCATAGATACCAAACCAAACCAAATACTCGTGCATACATGGAATAGAAATAAAATATCCGTTAAAGACATATCTAGGGATAAGCAAAAGGTCCTAGAAATCCACCTACCCCTGGACAACCCAGAACTAATCAAAGGATTTCTGAAAAGCTATATAAGACCCAAAATAAAATACTTTCTTTACTTCGAAGACCCACAGCACCGCAAACAGTTCTCAGAAGCAATATTGAAACTTTTTCAGAAAGGAACGGTAAAATTCTACGAATGCACAAAGAGAGTATTATATGTGGACGACGAACAGGAACAGCGCGACATCATAATTAAATACCATGCAGGCAAAAATAGTCATAGGGATAAAGGAGACTTTACTGCACCTTAAACGCACGTTCTACTGGAAGAGCATGAGGCAGAGAAGAGCTAGCATTATTGATGCATGTGACGTTTGTAGAAAAATGAAATATGATCGTAAACCACTAAAAACCGGAATTACAATTAACACAAACACAAAATAGACCATTCCAAGAGTTATTTATCGATATCTTCTCGATTGACGGAAAACAGTATCTCACAATCGTGGATGCCTTTAGTAAACTAGGTCAAGCGATCGAAATTAATAACAAGTCTACACCTGAAGTTATTAGAGCCTTAATAAAGTACTTTTCTTTATACGGAACACCCAATAGAATCAGTTCAGATCCTGGTACTGAATTCAATAACACATTAATGAAGGAAATGCTCTCTTTTTATAAAATAGATCTCCACATAGGCACTCCTCATAACCCAAACTCCATGGGAGTAGTCGAGCGATTTCACTCCACCATCATAGAAATATATAGGATTGCCAAATACGAACAAAAGATAACAGATGCTGCATCAGTTATGGCATACGCCATAATGTCCTATAACCACACAATACATTCTACAACGGGTCTCACCCCATTTGAAGTAGTTTTTGGCCACACGGAATCAAATAACGTATTTCACGTCGATTTCAACAAGCAATTTACACAACAACTCGTAAAAGAACATGCCCGACGAACGAAATACTTATACAAATATCTCACAGATAAGATCATAGACAAAAAACAGACGGAAATAAAGAAGCGAGGTGGTGATACAAATTTCGACATAGACATAGGTGACACAGTGTACATAAAAGGGGTAAACACTAGGCGCGGCAAAGATAAACCACGGTATCAAAAGGCTCAAGTTACTGGAGTCATAGAACGTAACGTGGTACCCATCACTACGAATAATAGGAACACCAAGGTACCTATTAAAGATATCAAACGCCCTCCGCAGGTTACTCCTTCTGGTGGTCCAGACGGGAGCCTTTCTTCTACACCGGATTGACAAGAACCCCGGACTACTACCTATTAAAGAAGGACAAGCCCTGGTCAGCCATGACGCTTGGACACTTATTAAAATTTTAGATTTAGAATTACTATATGAGGAACTAGAATCCAATATGAATAGTTACGTAAAGTTAAAAATCCAGATTAAAAACTGTTTTGATAGTAGAATATTAGATTCGGACCTTTCCGACGTCGAAACACAAACCGATTATGTCATGAACATAACTATAGAAAAATTTAAACAACTAAACCCGTCAATAAGATCTAAGCGTGGTTTGCTAAATCCCCTTGGCTCATTAATTAAGACAATCACTGGCAACCTTGATAACGATGATGCTGTAAGGTATGAAAAATTAATTCAGGATGTTCAGGCGAAACAAAACACTTTAAACAGTAAAATAACAATCGTCGCTGAAATGTTGGGTTCATTCTCAAAAATAGCAAATTCTACCAAAAGTAATTTTGTAAAAATTGAAGAAAGCATTCAAGATATTATTCACAAATTAAACGAATCAAAAGTTTTACAATCGATTAATAGAGTTGTCCATATCTATAATGCTTTCCTCAACCGATTTCAAACTCTCTACCTAAGGCTAAATGAAATTGAAACGGTCATTGCTTTTGCCAAAGTAAACCAATTACACCAATCAATAATAGATACAGACGAACTAATAGCATTATTAAGAAAAATTGAGAAAACCGACAAGCTTGTGTTTCCAGCTAATATAGAGAATATAGTAAGAATAGAGCAATCTATAGAATTAAAAGCCTACGTAAAACAAAATCAGATAAAATTAATCATGCAAATTCCTCTAATCAGAAATGATGTCTTTAACTACTTCAAATTGATTCCCGTACCTATCTATAATACCAGAAGCGACCTTACCTCCCTCATTATTCCTAAGTATCCTTACATCCTTGTGAAAGGGTTGAAAGCAATGCCACTCTCCCAGCCATGCAGCGAGATCGACGAAGCCCGCTTCCTATGCTTCGAAAATAATATACCACCGATGGAAGATGACTGCATCACTGATCTCATGAAGTTTTCAACAAACATTACTTCCTGTCAGCCAGTATCCGTGACCATAAATAACGTAAGAACATACCTGATACAACCAAACCGATGGATTATTTATGCTAAAACAGAAACACTGTTGACCAAGTATTGCAACGACGAAATTTCACAAGAACCTGTTTTCGGAACTTACCTATTAACCATAGACGACGACTGCGAAATTAGAATAAAAGACCTCAAGCTGAAGAAACGCCAAAATCAAGGAAAAGAAATATCTTATCCGAAGTTCCCAAATATCCAGTTACCGACAATTCAAGCAAACCCAACGTCTGGTCTCCAGAAACCCGTAAACCTAAACAAAGTGGACCTTGCCGATATTCAGTTCCTGAATTATCTATTACAAAAGAGTGGAAGTGAATTTAGTGATAGTGAAAATTATAATAGTATGGTTAACCCAAAAAGCATTGGTGTAGGGAACATAGCATTCTTTGTAATAGTGGTATCGTGTATTGTACTTTTAGCTTTTAAGAATAGTATTAGGAAAATATGTAACCGTATTTTAGGAAAAAACTCGGGATCATCCCCACCCTGCGGATAATCCCGATCTTGCGGAGGGAGGAGTTACACGATCTACTCCCGTTCCTGGCCCTTTGTTCCTCAATAACGCTTAGTTAGCGCCCGCGGTTCCCACGCATCGTAACGCGAAGTGGAATGTTCCGACGACGACGAAAATGCAGAGGCAGCAGTTCCAGCCCTCGTTTCTTTTAGTATTAAGTTTAGTCGTAAGGACAGTCTGTATTAAACATCCGATTGTATCACTCACTTGTAATTTTTAATTAACATTAAATATTAAAAATCGATTTAGTGTCTTTTTAAAAAGCAAGTTGCGCATTCCTCAAACTTGACTATGTAGTACACAAGAATAATATTCCTTTTAAACATAATTATGTGGTTCAATCAAAAATATTTATTAAAAAAAATCTTTAATTTGACATTTTAACGCTTCGCTTACAATATGGACAAGTATTCTCATACCATGTTCGTACAATATACAAGGATAATGTTGTATTTATATTTTTGGCTCGTCAATTGCCATATCTTGTTCAACTTGCACCTTCTCGACGATTCCACGAGTGCCCGACAAGCGAACTGTGTCGCCAGTCACAAACGTGTCCGTGGCGTTCGTTGCGCCAACGATACAAGGCAAACCGTATTCTCGAGCTATCACGGCACCTGGCAATTTCGTGCGTCATTAAAAGCGTATATAACATTATCTTGATTTATCCAAGATAAATGCTCACAATGTGAAGATAATAGTTAATAATTATTATTATCTTAAGAATTTCCAAAGTAAATATGAAATCGCAAAGAACAACTAACAACAATGAGATAAAACTGTCAGTGACAATTACATTTTTTATAATCAGCTCATTTGTGATAGGATAATAGGAGTGAGTCATTTGATTGCACTGTGTGGAATTACGAAACATAGCTGAGATTCTTACCGTGTGAAATGAGGCCACCGAGTTCGGTGACGATGCCAGTTAAAAGCGGAAAGTATGGTGACCAACCGATGTCAGTTGAATGCGTCACTAATATATCTCCTCGCCGCAGCTGATCAATCTGTTCGGTGGTATATATATACACATTGTTTATGACATACCTGTAATTACTATTAAAGTGATGTTCCTTTCAGTGAATAGAAGAGGCTCACGCCCGGTTTCTGAAACACTGATCATCGTAGATGTCAACTAATCAGCTGTAAAGCTTATTAATAGCTTTTTAAATGCCATTTGAGTTGCCAAAGGATGGTTAAACTCTTTGAATTGATCAGAATGGTCTTGTTAATGATCATGGTAAGCGAGCTGGCCGGTCATCTGATGTTAAGTGATAACCGCCAGACGTGGACATAATGATTACCATCGGATATTTTAAATCCCGATATAAAAGTAATAATTAAGCAGACACTTAAGCACTAGTATTCGGATGGAAACCTCAGTCCCCTGTCCAATAAAATAAAAACCCTCGGATGTTTTCAATCATGAGATCAGAGTACAAATGCAAACCTCCGACAGGTCCTTAACAACGCACGCTCTGCCGACGACCTCTCCCCCACAGACTGAAGTCGCCTCAATTTTAACATCGCCCGCCGTTACACGTGGGCCCTGAGAGCTAAGAGGCTCCAGCCATCCAGTATTGATTTCGGCGAATTTGAGCTTGCACCAACCGGGATAGAATTGTTGTCGCTGTATAGCCCTGCCATAAGGTTGCACTTTTTAAATAACTCGTATACAACGAACTAAGAACGAAACATTAATTTATTGACTATGAATCCTATCCTGATAGCTTCGTTTCGCGCACATTTATGTACTTACCGAGCATACTCGTCGCTTACGGATAATATTTTTTTTTTCACTTTTAACGTTAAGGTATAAATAACAATAGATAGGTCAATATCCCTCCTAAACAAACATTTCAACGAATACAAAAAAACACTTAAACTCACTTCTTCAATAATGAGGGATTTCTCCCCACAATGTAATCGCGGAGTTCTTTCGCTCTGAAGAAGAATATCAAGTCGGGGTGAGGGAGGTACCATTGGCGCACCAGCAACTTGGCCAAGCGCCGAACTGCCAATCTCAACTTGTGCACGGCGAGAATTAAGTTCGCCTTTGTTCCCTCCCGATGGCGGACAGATCGATGGCACAAAGGCAGTATCCAGCGCAGGGCTCTCCTGAAATATAAACCGAACATATCTATTCTCATATTTCCATGATTATTTTGTAAAAAAAAAAAACAAAGTTGATAGAACGTCGAGATTTTAGCGCGATGAGGATGGCTTAGATAGATGTTTGAGTAACTTTTGGCCTTTTTGAGCTTTGAAGCTTTATGTTTAGTGCAGAGACCAGCAATAATTTTATATAAAAAGTTACCAAGGAGCAGGCAGTGCACCTCCACCTGATAAGTGATAACCACCGCTTGTGGACAACTACATCACCTGAAGAGATCCGTGGCCAACCTTTAAAAGAGTGGCTTCGTGGCAACAAGACCAAACGCAAAAGTATACTTCCCTACCGTAACTGCAAAACCCATACGTGCAACAACAGAGCTGTTGATTGGCCATCCCACGGTAAAAAGCATAGAGAACTACTAACATAATTACATAAAATATAATTTTTTACTAGGTGATTGCCTACTCATGTGTGTATTTCCTATTGTTGTTAATAGCGTATCCCGTATCGGGAAATTATTGTGCGGATTGACAAATTTGGCGCACCATTGTATATGACATCGGTATTTAAACTTAGATTACCCGTGTAACCTGATTTGGAAGCGAGCGCCCGGAGGTTGAACTACCACGGTCATATGAAATATCACACATAATATATACCTTGTACTTGTCTTTTGCGGTGTCTTGAGGGAAGCTACTATTTCTGCGTTACTCTTGGATACTGGATTTTCTTTAGTCGACCGCATACATTGGAGGACTTTAATGAATTCCTCTGGAACCAACGCCCACGGTTTTGTTGCTAAATCGAACTGAAATAAATTATACTTCGCATGTACCTTGGAAGAACGGTTATTGAGGTATACGGGTGACATAGTTTAACACATAGGGAATTGATGGAAGGTGAATATTTGATGCTGGATGTTCCGTATTTTTTTACACGTATATTAATATATCTATATATCTAGAGATATCTATATAGTTAGAGTTTTTACTCACCTCCATTATAGCTCTGTGACCGTGAGTTTCAAGGAATTTACAAATATCGGCATGCACCTGGGGCAGCTTATTACGCAACCAATTCATTGCAGACTCGGGATCCTGTTGACGAAACTCTTCGATTTTGCCCGTTTCTTCCAATTTTTTAGTTAAATCCGCCAACGCCAGAGGAACTTCGGCTGACAGAACATCGCCGGAGCTTAGCAATACACTGATTTCGTTGCATTGCTCGGGAGTAAAATCTGAAAACGCATTACTTACTTAATCATTGGAAGAAATCTGGTATAGTCGGACATAGTGTGTAACAAAATTAGTAAAGCGGCTTATATTTTATACATAATACTCTAAATATTGAATCATTGTAAATTGATTGTTATGCTTATATACAATCGCATCCTAGATATGGCATCGTATTCCGGGGAAATAGCTATAAGAAAGACTAATTTATGTCGCAAAAAAGTGTTAGAGCAATGTGCAAATTAAATACAAGAGGATTGTATTGTATTAACTGATGTTAACGCTTTCAGTTCCGAGACTATTAAGCTTCATCGAACGCAGAACCGGTGGGCTAGCCAGAACCCACGGGTTTGAGGCCCTCCACAGTGGTTAGGCCCGCGCGATAACTAAGGAATAAAAGAGGATTATCCATGCCATCGTTATACTTCTTGAAAGTGCAATGTGCGTGAAAAGTAACGTCTCTTTTTCCCAAGTCCAACCATGAGCGAAGCAGAGGTGACATTTACCTAAAACTAACACAGCACTTTTGAGCTAGACTATAATACTATGTACTCTGCATGGCGTAAAAAATATAATAGACCAGGGGTGGCCAACCCGAGGCTCGCGAGCCACATGCCGCTCTGAAGGATTATTTGTGATTGTTCGTAAATGATCCAAAGTTGTCGGAATTCCAAAATAGATTTCAAGACTTGAAATATTTTAAATCATCTCTTAATTTTTTCTGAATCCATTTGAAATTGACATAATTCAAGATGAGTTTACCATTTCCAATATAATTATGAACCAAAAAGCATCTGGAGAATTAAAATTAATAGAGTTGCAAAAAGATTACTGAATTTTGTAAATTTGAACTAAAATCGAAGGATCCTGAATTAAATGTGGCTGCTCGTCGAATTATTTTAATATTAGGTACAACGTACGTATGTGAATCATTTCATTAAATTAAAATTCGTGAAATCCAAAGTAATGTATTTTTATGCATAATTTAAGCATTTTGCACTCCTATATAACGTGTGGAAAATTTTATACTCCTCCGTCCGCGCAATTTTCGTAAAAAGGGATAAAAAGTTTCTGCTTCACGTGTAGATTAGATATAGATTATATTTTGACTGTAAGGTACTTTTATATTCTATCATGATTATTATAATTCAGACGTGTATCCATATATACTTTCGACTAGCGAACGTATTATATTTATAAAAGAAGATGGATTCTGTACAAAATTATTACTAAGACTTTAAGAGACACAAATGGCTAAAAGTATCGCTAAGGTACCTGTTTTGCCTTCTAATAGCACACTCATTGCTACAAACTGTGTAATTGTGCTTGCTGAGCTCGTTATGCTATGGTTGTAGGAATACGACTGCATTTCACTTGTCTTTCCCGATATTGTATCGAAAAACTTTAATGGGTCGTCTTTCTCAATATCTAAATCCATTTTATGGACTCCTTTAATTGTGTTATTCATCGCCGATTTTGTTTCGAATACACACTGAAAACAAATTCTCATTTTAGACTTAAATCGAGCTTTGATCATATGTTAACTTATTAATATATTCGCTTCATTTTGTAGTTAGGACTACTTTCTTTAGTTGACGAAAATTTAAATATCAAAAGCCAATTGAATGTTCACATATAACCACACATATATGTCCTTGTTCATGGCAACATTACAATTTGTCTTTATATAAGTACTTCAAGAGACAATCGATGTAAGTTAATAATATTTAGGACGGAATGAATTTATTCTTCACCACTGTGCACTATACATATAACATGAAATAATGAATATCATGAATACGGTGCAGCTGAAGAATATCTTAATTTCTTCATTTAAAATAGTATAATAGCGTTAATTTTACCAAAAACATTCTACATGTCGTTAATGCTCTCTCAACAATATTTGTCCTTCTTCTATGCAGGGCTGTACTCAAGATTCCCTCATCAGCGACCTTGTGACCGTGAAGAGACATTTCTAACATACGTATGCCAATGTCAATCTCGGGTGGTACTCTGCGATAAACCGACTGAAAAGATATATCAAGTAGTACATCGTAGAACGGTTAAAAGTAGCAGCGTCGATCTATTTTTTTTATGTGAAAGGTTGACAAGCGAGCAGGCGGTTCACCTGATGTTAAGTGAATACCGCTACCCATCTGTTACACCCGAGGGTTGAAGATGCGTTGACAACCTTTTTGAAATTGTGCTCCGGCTGCCTCACTCACCAGACGAAACTCGAAAGTATAATACTTCCACTTGACGCCGGTCTTCTGTGAGGTCGTGGTACTTACCCGGACGATCTAGCCCATTCGCGCAACAGCCGAGGCTGCTGCGTAGCCCTAACACCTTTATGCATATGGCTGCTTAGTTACACTTTTGTATAAAATACAAGTCGTAAAGTGAGTCGTTTAAAGCGAAACTATCAAGTTTACGCTACTAATTTTCGCAATGTCAAAACGTTTTTTTTTTTGAGTTGACATTTTCCCATGCCATTTTTGTAACAGTAACAGACCGAGATAAAGTCCTGAAGAACTATTTTGAACCAAGGATTGAATTGATATACGGTTGCACGTAAGATTTTTCTAGGTGTGGCAAAGCGCACCGGGTACCAGCTAGTAACTTATAAAACTTACGTTATACAGGGCAATGGCACACCTGTTGTGTGTCACTATTACGCTCTTGTCGTAGCCATCGCCGTTGCTCTTTACAATTTGATCCACGCCCCTTTCTAGAGGTGTCACGACTAAGTCGTAAGTCAACGGCGTCAGGGGTTTTGGAAGTACCTTAAAAATCCAACTTTCACAGATTTTAATTGTACAGATGTAGGCAGAGAAATGACAAAACCGCCTGCAGCTCTTTTTCTATTGCGCATGCAACGTTAATACCTACCTCTCCAGTATTCGCAAAAGTGATGAGTTCGTCATCTGACATTATTGGGAAATCCAATTCGTGCAATAACTCCTCTTCAGTCCAACGCTCCAGCGATGTTATAGGACGGGCTTGTAGTAAAAATATTTCATCCTGAAATTATAATAAAAATTCTACAATTTAATTGGATTTACTTAAGAGTATTTTAGGAAAATAACTTAAGTAATGGACGCTGTGCCGGTTATTCGTCGAATAAAACTGCGTTTAATGCGAAAATATTTCCTTTTGTACAAAATATATACTATTTTGTGTAATAATCCAACTTAAGAAATAAAAATACTAACACCGCTAATAGCCCACTCAATATCCCGTCCTGCTCCCCATAATTCCTCTTGAGCTACTCCGATCTTGGCTAGTTTTAGTATTTCGTCTTCCGACAGACAGGCGACTCCTCGTTCTAACTCTGGTACTTCTTCTACGGCGACTCCATCTCCCTCTGGTGTAACTCGCTGTTTCTTTGATCCGAGCTCTATTTTAGCTATTTTAAGACCACTCTCTCCCCGCTTTACTGTTATCGTGTCCGGTTCTACGGACCCAGAAACAACACTCTGCAATATTAATGAAAGAAATCTTTGAGAAATTAAGAATAAAATTAGCGACGAACAAATAAAGAGAGAGAGGTTAGGGTTGGGTTGTTGTGATTCGCTTAGCAGAAAGTTAGTTCATTACTCTAATTAGCATCTTCTTTTTTACCTTTTGCAAAAAAATCCAGGAAAAAAATATCTTTTAAACATTTACCACAATTCGCTATATTCCTGATCATTAAAGAATAGAGGGAAATGCTAGATACATACACATCAGTATTGATTTTTTTTTATTTGAAACTACGGCTATTTGGTTCCATGTCTAATATGTTTTCTTTTTGCTGTTTATCGCCTGCTTTCATATTTTTATGTATAAGAATTTATTTTACTACCTCTCCGAGGCCGTAGTTTGCTGTGAGTAGCAGACGCGCGGGATCTCCAAGCGGATGGTGGGTGAACATTACACCAGCTGAACCTGCTGCCACTAAAACTTGGACCACCACCCCGCCACCGCACGCACACGCCTGACCGTTTTGCCTATACAACGTTAAAATAACTGTATTCTTATTCCGCTGCATCCTTACATATCCTTATTACGTTATTTAACTTCAATTCATGTAGTTTTATATACATTGATTTTCGCATGCCGCATCTGGTAAACATGTGAGCTATTGTAACAAATTTAGACGCAACTATATTATGTACCATGTTTATGCGAATAAATGATTATTATTATTATTACAAGGAGGATAGGTCAACTACCTATCCTCCTTGTAATAATAATAATCATTATCAATCAATTTGTATTCATTTACAACTACTTTATGAACCATAGCTGACGGATTAACAGAACTTCCAGTAGCTCTCACATTAAACAGTCAGCTTTTCAGCCCATTTTGACCTTACGGAATTCGTTGTATCAAGAAGCAGACGATATTTTATTACCTTCTATAATACGCACTGGTGAAGGCGAACATTGACGCCCAACAACGTTGGACGGCCCGCAGGACGTCTGCATCACTAACGCAACCTAAAATGGTTTCATTTTGCCCTGCCGCTGATGTTTCTTCACTGTCCTCTCCCACTCCTAAGAGTAGAGAAAAGTATTAATAATAATTTCAACAAAAATATCAACAATTGTTAAATTACTTATAAATTAGCGGTAAAATTTAATTAACGGTGGCAGGGCCACGCAGCAGTTGGCTGTTGCACGAATAGGCAAGCCCGTCCGGGTAAATACCACGACCTCACAGAAGACCAGCGTAAAGTGGAAGTATGACAAATACTTTCGCGTTTCGTCTGGTGAGTGAGGTAGCCGGAGCCCAATTTTCAAAAGGTTGTCAACGCATCTGTAACCCTCGGGTGTGGCTGATGTCCATGGGCGGCGGTATTCACTTAACATCAGGTGAACCGTGTGCTCGTTTGACAACTTTTCGCATAAAAAAAATGTGAATCGATTCCTTCTACCGTAGTGAGAGAATGTCAGGAATCCCATAATACTGAGAAGTATCGTAGGAAGCTTGCGAAATATCAAAAATGGGGAAGTTAAATATTATGACTCCGTGGCGTAGTTGCTAAAGTATAGGCTTTGGCGTCGGGGGTCGTGGGTTCGATTCCACACGAGACAATGTTAGATGTCTTAGAAAATATAGATCGGTTATGGCTGTGTAAGGTTTCCGATATAATTTTTGATAATACCGCCAGCATTGATGACTTTAAACTTTTGCCAATCATATGGAAATAAAAATCAACAAATATATACTTCTCCTGACTGTTGATAAAAACTACTTCTTATTCTTTTCCTTCATTGAGTCATTCAAAAAAAAAGTACTTATTTTAAAAATATTTTGTTGTCTTACGTGAACCTTAAATGTCATTCTGTATTGTATAAAATATTATCCAAGCAATAGCTTACCGGAAGACCTCACAGCGAACCTTAATTCTGGACCCAATTGCTGCTCTTTGGCATGTGTTCTTAAATTACTCAAGTGACGCAATATTTCTTCTTTTACGTCTTTCGATATCTCAATCTTCATAAATAAATCCACCGCTCTAAAATCATTCAATACAGCAACTTAAGCAAGAAAAACAGAGAGATAAATGATGATTGTAACCTTTAATTACTTACTTTTATTTTTAACTTACTTTTCACATTTTTGCTTAAAGTTACTTTCTTCATAGTCTTCATTAGCAGATTGAATATCTTGTATAGCTTGAACTAGCTGTGAGTGTTGTTCTAGTTGTTTATCTAACGCCAGGGTGGTTAGGCAAAAGCCAGGCGGAACTCTATAACCCTTTACAGTAGAAACAAAGCGTTAAAAATCCTCCTTTAAATTATTTTAAAACATTTCCTTTACATGAATACTACATTAACTTGAGAGCAATTCCTGACGATTTTAACAAAATTAGCTGTCAGATTATTTAGTCGAACTTCTTAATATGTCGAGAAGTCAAACAGGTCTAAAAAGAAAACTGTTTGGACATTGTTCTGCATAAAATATATCAGTGACAACCGTTTTACTTTTAAACGACTTACCTGTTCTTTTTGTACCGAGGCAAGGAGTGCTAATGAAGCGCCTTTGCCGCCAACATAAGCAGGACAGGCTGCGGCCTTATCTTCGAACCTTACGCAAAATCCCACATTTTCTGCTTTAAGCCCGTTTGTCCACTTCAACGTCTTATTAAGTGGTAATCTTTCTAATGGTTTAGTATTTACTGAAATTATTTAACAAGTTCGGTACTACATTCAAAGGAGTCAAGCAACTTAATTGTTATCAAAACTTTCAAATTCGAACACTCACAAAACTACATATTACAATCGGTCACAATTCCAAAGTGATTTTCGTCAACACTTTAAACTTTTAATTTAAATGATAAGAATATACTTACATAAATTCTCTTTAATTTTTTTTGCTATTTAATCTCCATCTAGGGAGATTCTTTGTTTATATATTAATTGTTTTGGGAATTTATTTACCTAATAACTCGTAGCCCAGTTCCAGTATTCCAGTGCCGTGTTCACCATTTATATCAACCGCTAGTGTACGAAATATCAACTCTTGCTTTTGCGAAACACCCGAAAAGCCACCGTCATTATTGATTCTTAGCACAAATTTCAAAGTGCGTCCTTTTGCTGTTGATGAAAATCGAGTAAAATTCTTACCAGTAAAACTTTAATTTAGGGTAAAAAGGTTTATTTTGTAACACTAAACTGTCATATATATATTTTTTTTCAAATTAATACGCATATCTGATAAATAATAAGCAGTCTCAAAGTATACAGGCAACATGTTAATGATGATGTGACTTGTACAGATTTTAATTAGTAGAAAACACAGTCACACAAACATTTACGTGAAAACCTAGTTAAGGTACGAGTAAACGGTATAAGATATAAATTAATTTTGCTTCGATTTTATCTCTTACCATGACTGCAACAATGTTTTTTTAAAAGACGTAAAAACTTTACTTAAGACGCTCGATATTATACAAAAATAAAGTATTTTTTATAAATTAAGAAGAAAAAAATAAATATGTTACTGCTGCAAACTATTGTGTAAGCCTTAGGTATGCACTCTGGTGTTTCGCAGAAATCAGACATTATGAAATCTGTGGAGGTTAAAGGCCGTATCGTGTAGTCCGGAAACCTGACACATCCAGATATCAACCTGCAAAAAAGATAGACATAATAGTTATTGTACACATTTTTAGGAATTAAGTCTATTAACGTTTTTCCCTTATTAACTTTTTAAACAGCAAACCATATATGTAAATCTAAAAAAATCTGTTTCATTTTCAGTTTCATATATTTATTAAAATCGGTCCAGCCTACAGAAAAATTATATATATAAAGATAAACATTCAAAACTACCTAGCTGAGCTTTTAGCTCTTACCTTTTGTCCTTTTCCATTGGAAATTCGGAATAAAAAGTAAAAAAACCACTATCTTTTTGTGAACAAACATCAATCCATAGGCTAGTTTTTGACTCTTGTGGAGACAAACATACGGAAGCTACATTTTATATCGTCTTTGGTTTTCGTTTTTTTTTTAAACTTAGCCCTTACGCTAACATAATCCTGTATTGTAAGGACGTATCACATACATACATTTCACATGGACAAACACACGGAACCGAAGCGATTATCTGTGGGTCATGTAAATAATTCTCCTGTGTGGGAATCAAACCCACGCTTGCTTGTCTTTGCAACTGCACCACGGAGTCATCAATGTAATATAAAAAAATATGCTTAAGGATAATTAAATAAAGTAATGAAAATGAAGATAATATAAACCAATTAGAAATAAATCGTTCAGATATTGGAAAACAGTTGTGGACATGTCATACCACGAAGTCACTGGATATGGCACTTATCGTACTCACTCTGTAAAATCATTTCTGTAAGACAGCCCACGCAGCATGATGGCGGTGCCATCACTTGCCGAAGCTGTCACCGTAACAGCTCGACGGGGGTAAGGAACACCATACAAGGACCATCTCCGCTCCCTTACGCCTCTGAGGCGCAGATATTCGCTTCGATGGACGGAACCCTCCGCGTCGTACGCCTGGAAACGCCCCTGCACCGCGCCCCATTGTAACCAACCCCCGTCGCCACATTTCCCCCTGTGAGATAATTAAATATTCACGTGAACACTTATACAAATTAACCGTTATTATTTAGGTGTTTTAATCACGTTAACATTCCACTGGGAACGAAATAATTTCACATATTTAAAGTTATGTAATCATAATTCAAATTGATACATAAACTGATTGATAAATTGATTGTTTGCTGTTGAAATCTTAGGTCTGTGGGTTCCCCGTACATTTTAAATGTGCAAAAAATTAACGGCCTGCTGATGACAAGAGTGTTGGTTCTTTTCTGACTCAAAGGTTGAACATAATTATGCAGCGATAAATGTAGCTAGCGTTCTTGGGATAATGCCCAGTGGTCTAGGTTTATTAGATAACAAGTAATTTGGTTAATATTTAACATTATAAATATTTTTAAATGAAACTAGTTTACGGATTTTATCGCGTTTTTTATTCTGAATTGAACTCCCGACGTTTCGAACCCTTTCCAGCGTTCATGGTCACAGGAATTGAAATCAAAATAAAAAACGCGATAAATTCCTTAAACTAGTTTCATTTAATATGTATAATATTCGCGTAAAATCAAGAAAACAAATATAAATATTTTTGTTAAATATATGGATACTATTTTTTTTTCCACTTTTTAATGTTCAATATCATCATCATCATCATCATTTCAGCCTGTTTGAATCCATTGCTGAACATAGGCCTCCCCCATAGCCCGCCACGAAGTACGATCCCGAGCCACCTTTTTAGTGTTCACTTCGTCGTAAGCCATGAAACGTTTAAGTTGCTAAAAACTTTAATTTACCTACCATTAGTAACACCATTTCACAAACGATAAAAAAGTTTTTACCGTTAGGAGAATTACATCGTAAAATATTTTAACTCTTCTTGTATTATCTTGTATTAACTGATGTTTGTGCTTTCAGTCCCGAGACTATTAAAGCTTCATCTGACGCAGAACCGGTGGGCTATCCAGAACCCACGGGTTTGGACCCTCCGCTATGGGTAGGGCCACGCATGTGCTCATGCGTGCGTTTAAGTGTGGTGTGTCATCTAAGGGCCATCGAGGTCACGGTTCGGACCGAAACCCCGATGGCCGTCGACTGTGCAATTAGCTAATCGGTGGCTGGGGGCGGTGAGAACCGCCCCGGAACGCGGGTGTACCTTGTGTACGCGTTGTGTTGGTCTCGCCGTGCTCGGAGGCGAGGGCGAACTAGTATGTTTGTTGTTGCACTAACTGTGGGTGTAGTGTTATCCGGCGGGACCCCGGCGGGACCCCGGCGGTGGGTCCGGCATATCTAAGTCCCCTTCCTCGACCGGGTCGATGAGGACGTTTCGCGGGCGACGCTTGTTGACGTTCGCGTTTGTGTCGGATTGGTAAATTGCTGCGCTTACCACAAGAGGGTTGGGATGATGTTCGGCTCTATCGAAGAACCGTTTGGTCAGGTCTTTAAAATAATCGCGAATCGTCGGGAGTCTGCAATCGCTGTGCAGGTCGACGTTGCATTGATACCACTGCGCACCGGTTGCGCGGCGAATGTATTTGCAACTTGTACAAGCGAGTAGGGTGCGTGTGGGCAAAGGTCATGCATGCGTAGGACATAATAGGTCGTACGCAGGTCTTATATAATAATAATTTGTGTCTTAAGGGCATTTTACTTTTAGCGTTAGTTAAATTGTGTAGCCGGCCGGAGACGAACGCGGCTCTATTGCGAACGTTATTAATGTGCGTATTAAATGAAATACGCGACTCGAAAGTGACTCCTAAGTATTTGACCTTTTTCTCCCAGGGGAGCGGTTGGCCATAAAGGGATATTTGCCCCAACTTTCTGCATTGACGAGGGCCATTATAAAGATGTGACGGGTAAGTACTTCGTGTGAAGTGAATCGCCACACTCTTTTCGGGATTTATTTCTATTCTCCATTTGCGGAACCAGTCGCCGAGGCGGTCGGCGGTGCTTTGGAGTCGAGTGGTTAGTTGTCTAAGGTTGCGGTCTGAATAAAAGAGCGCCGTGTCATCCGCGAAAAGCGCGAGATTGACGTGAGGGTCTTTAGGTATATCGCTCGTGTAGAGCGTAGAGAGCAAAGGTGAGAGGCAGGAGCCTTGTGGTACGCCGGCCGTGAGGCGGCGGCTTGTGGAGAGGGTGCCTTCAACTCGATATCGAAAAGAGCGGTTTGACAGGAAGGCCCGGATGGTGTGTACGAGCCTATCTGGCACTTTGAGTGTGTACAGCTTGTAAAGCAAGCCGTTGTGCCAGACCTTGTCGAATGCTTTTGCGACATCGAAGAAAAGAGCCCCTGTAGTAATATGTTTAAGGTGATTTAGGCCTTTTAGGATATGTTCCGTTAGGCGGAATAGTTGATCGGGAGGAATAGTTGATCGGGGATTTTAACTCTGCATGATCATAGCTCTACCAAGGACAGACGTACAACATTTACGAGTATGCCACATAACACATACAACATTTGCGTCCAAGATGCATCACGCCAGGTTTCCATTGCTAGCGCATGGGCGGCAAGTTGTTCACTCCAATCTTCGGGATGACGTATAACACTAGTTGCCGATGCCCATCTGAAAACATACCACATACACGATCATTATTTAAAATATAACATATACATTACTTACCAGCGTATATTATTTCTCATGGTCGATATAATAGACGAGAGAAGTTTTCGTTGTAATTTATTTAGTTCTACAATCATGGAAGCATTGTCATCTGTGGTGTTTAGAATAAGAATGTGGTTGGGATCCCGCTGTAACTTTTAAATTTTGTGCCAATGCTCTTTTAGCACAGCTGTCGATTATCTATAATGAATAAGCAAAAAAAGATATGTTTATACTAACACAAGATTTAACCGAACATGATGTTTAATGTTGTCCTCAGAACTCGTTAAAAGACCATTGTATATAATTCTCAATCTTTTCTCCGGCTCCAAAACCTGTATTTTTAAACCTTGAGCGCTCCATCCATTTTCTATGTTTTCCCATGCTTTTGGTAACGTTTCGGCATGACCTATATACGTAGAATATGCACAATAAGAGCTACATACGTGTACGTAAAACTAACCGAATTATTGTAAACCAAAATCGATGTTACCATATTATAAATAAAATTAAATTTATAAATAAAATTAAATAATACCCACCGTGGGTACCAGCAGGTAATAGAATTCATCGTAATATAGTCATACTTATACATAATTATGAATTTGAAAATCTTTCACAAAATTTTGCTATTGATGGTTGAAAACCCTTAAAGCTTGTCTGAGTATAATAAATACAGCAGAATATTCGAGTAGTTCAGCGATGTTCAAATTAAAAATGTGAGAGTTATTTACCACGTTTTTGACGAAAAACATCATCAGGGAAAGCTGTGCATCTAATAAATAATAAAAAACAAATGTCAAAGATCCGTGAAATCCGTCTATCTGCACTCGAGGCACATTATGGACTAAGGTTTATTTTTTAATTATTTTTCTTAAGGCTTATTTTTTGTTTATTTTTTATTTATTTATGTATACAGTACCCTTAATACAGACGAGAGCATTACCCGGAAATGGTACATACGTATAGGATGTTTTTACTTAACTTTACAACTGGAATAGCTTTAAAACAACATACGTGCTAATGTGTACGTTGTCCCATCGGATAGCTTGATATACACTGTCACCTCGGCCAGTGTGTTGCGCAAGCACAACTTCCGTATTTCTAAATGGAGTGTTGGCCCGGCAGGAGCGGTAGCGCGTATCGAGATAGAGTCCCAACCTTCGGTTAAACCATCTCTAGGGGTTTCACTCAACACGTATTCGGTAGGCAACTGTGACCTCCATCTTCTTATAGCAAAACGCGCAAGTACATACTTAATTGGATAATTCCAGTCTGGAAAAAAAATATATATATACTCAGCCTTCTCCAAGCTTGCTTTTACTATTTTTTTTAAGGGGAAAACGAACAGCTTAACCAAGCGTCCAAAACGTCCTTGGTTTGCAGTTGCATTGCCAAGTTTGAAGTGAATAATCAAACTAATATATAAAGTAGCACAAAGGAAAGCTGAAGTGGCGATTAGCCGGCCATATAACTTGTAGAAAGGCCTGTATAACCCATGGGGAAGAAAGTCTCGAGTGGCAGCCTCGTACTGGCCATCGCAGTGTAGGACGACCCCCCACTACAAATGTGCGGGAAGTCGATGGATGCAGGTGGCTCAGGATCGTACTTCGTGGCAGTCTATGGGGGAGGCCTATGTTCAGCAGTGGACTCAAACAGGCTGAAATGATGATGATGATCGTGTTGTGAATGGACGTCGGTCACCGCACCCGTTGTAACGCAAAAAATTAAAATAATTCCACTTTCCGCCAGTCCTGTGCAAGGGAGTTACTTATTTATGGAACTGCAAAGCTGCTGCATGGCTCTAGCGTACAATAGATTTTTAACCAACTTAGATGCTGACGGCTTTCAATCTGATCTCGTAGATTCGAGTCTTTTTGTTAAGCCTTTTTTTGTAAAAATACTTGTTTAACAACCGCCTGGAATGGGAATTATATAATTTCTGGGAAAAGAGATAACACTAGAGAGCGTTTATTACTTTCTTTAATGCTGACTCTAACGGCTTACCGTGGATATTTCCTCTGTTTGTGGCATAGCTTAATATTGTCATTAACAAGGCCTGGCTTCTAGATAGTTGCAAGCAACTTTTTAAATTTTACAATGTATTGCCACTACCTTTTTGTACGTTAAGGATATGTGTCTATTTACCAAAATTCATTCATAACTCTACAAAAAACGTAATGAGATATTCACTAGACACAAAGACCAAATTTTCAAACCTTTTATAGCAGCCTCCTTGGCAATGTGATTTATAATAAAAACGTTAATTATACGTGAACGTATACTGATTTATAAATAAATTACCGAAGCCATTGTCTAACTGCCTGTTTAGCAAAGGTTTTATAGTGTTACGGAGTTTTTCAAAAATAATAAATATTAATTAATGTTTAATATTTGCACGCTTGCTTGCAGGCTAAATATTCTATTTAATCTACAAGATAATACTGACATTATATGACGTCCTAATGTGCCTTGTGTGTTAACACTTTCGTTACAAGGAACTACTACATTTAGGAAGGATAAATAAAGGACAAAAAAGAAATGTTTTTACTATAACACACAAGTTATATTTCTAGTAATAATAACATACATTCAATAACAATATCTTCCTCCAACCCTTTCCTAAGTATCAAATACCACAAACAGAATAGATACTTTATGCGGCAAACTGGAATTTAAGCACATTAATTTTTTTTTTCTGAATATTTCAACTGGCTTATAATATTTCGAAGGCTGCGACCAATTACCACTTATATAAAAGTCCACTTATATAAAATAACACTGCAAACATTAACACAAACACAATTGCTCAACGTATGAAGGACATTTTCCGCATCCAAATAACTTTTATTACTCTACACGTGATTTAAATACTGCCAAGAGAGACTTGCTAAATTAAACCATATTGCAATGCGGGAAAAGTACTTTGTCCCTTATGAAAAAAATCGGGTACGAATAAAACAAAACATATCTGGCTTAAATATAAGCTTTGACTGTTATATAAATAAATGTTTAACTCGATTTCACCTACCTTTTTCTCGATAGAGTCCAGTTCTGGCCGCGGGCTTTCTAAAATAAACCAAATATGTTACCAATGCGCCAGTAATTAATCCAGCTTGTAATAGGATGTCGTATAAATCCATGTTGAACGAATTATGCTCCGTTATACAACTTTATGAGATATAATATCGCCAGATTAAGAGACACAGATGCGTTGATGTTCGGACACTACTGCACAGTGATTAAATTAAAATGGATTCGTTGTTGACGATTGCCCTAATCAGTCACTTTTCGAATATCTTCGTTGTTTCATATCTTTGGTCCATGATAAGTGGTTGGTTAACAACAAATAGGAATTAATGAAGAAATATTTAATAGTGGACACATGAATATCAAAGATCTTATAATCACCCTTATTTCTTTTTATTATAAATTTATTTCATTTGATGATCAAGTGCAATACTTTATTTGCATTATGTTCTTCAAAAACAGAATTTTTTAAGCTCACTTCATCAGAACCAAATCATTGATAGACTTCTAAAGAGTAAAAAGATCAGGTGATCCATCCATGATAATTAATTACCGCTATGCGTGGACATAAACATCCGTGGGATTGCAGTAGCGAAGTCAACGCTCTTCAAAGAAACTCAAATGTATTTACATACCTGCACTTCGATTAAACTTGACTAGACTCTATTATAGTGATACTTCTCTGAAAGAGTTGGCTCCATCATTTAATAAATCCAGACTTTTTTATGTAAAATGGCAAGCAAGCTTGTGGTTCACATCATGTTAACTTAAGGGATAACCACCGCCCATGGCCATTGACAACACCCGCAGGGTTACAAATGCGTTGCCACCTTTCAATAAAGTGGTTCCAGTTACCTCACTCACTAGACGCAACGCAGAAGTATAACACTTGCACTTCACGCCGGTCTTATGTGAGGTCGTGGTACTTCCCCATACGGACATGCCCATTCGTCCAACGGCAAGACTGCTGCGTGGTCCTACCACAGTAGCCGAATCAAAACCAACTCAAGTACAATATTTACATTGTAGATACGTTAAGCACAACACTATATTATCTTGAACCACAGTAACGCCGAGGCAATTAAACATTACAGGTGACTAGAAAACGATATTCTTGTAAAATGTTTGAATAATTGTCAACAGGTACAAAATTCCATCAATTTCATAAAAGCTATTCATAACAAGGTTTCATTAGAACTGTAATAAACAACTTGCAACAAAACCAATGAAAATTAGTTTACTATTTGTCCCCATTTTAACCTATTCATAAAACTTTTACTGCTTTATGACAGATATTTGGGTTTAGGGCAATCCCAGAGCTCCCATACGAATGATTATCATACACCACCATTTATGGCTATAACAGCTAATTGTCATTTCGCTCGCTTTCAAGAGTTCTTGATCCGAGAGAACCGAATCCCAGAGACTGTTTTTATCCGGTGTTCCCTGGCAGAAACACCACGTTGTCGATATTAGCATATTTTTAACCTCGTTAATTCAACATCCTGTCACTTAGAATAAATCATACAGTATCTTCAAAATGCATTTTAATATTAACAATTAAAAAAAAATCGATGTTCTGCCAATTCGTGTGGCGGTTTGTCCGAAATTCCGTAAAAATGCGTTCACCGAATTGGTCAAATTCGTGTGCCATCGTGATGTTCAAGTAATGATTTATTAAAAAAACTAACATTTGTTGAACTTTTTTACTTTCAGAAAGGGCAACCATCTGATGAATTCTGTTACAACATTTAATTCTATTGGTGAATAATTCAATTATTTTTTGTTGTGAAAAATAAAAGGCAATTCATTCTGATAATGTATACACAGGAAAATGTATGATAAAGTGAAAAACATTCTAATACATCACAAAGTACCGTTTCTTTCTTCCGATTTTTGATTTTTAATAAACTAAATATCTCCTTGTTAAAATTAATGCACACCGAAAAATATAACATAAAAAAAAAACAAACATTATAATTATAGACTTTAATAAATAAATAGGACAAAAAATATAGGTAATAACCAATAAAGAATTTAATTGCTTTTAATAAACACTGTATATCTATAATACATAGTTTTTTAGAAATATTTAATTATTCCTTTTTAAATCCCGTCTAAACTAAATAGTTTCGTGCAGAACTTAAAAAGTAACAGCCTATACATGTCCCACTGCTGGGCAAAGGCCTCCTCTGGCTGGTGCAGAACTTAAAATAATTAGGATATCTCTAGCGCGCTAATACACCGACAAAAACAATGAAATATATCGTCCATATTATTCCTTTTTATAATCACAATATTTAAATAAGAATTATGAAAAAGGCGACAGCACAAATAAGTAACAATTCACGGAGTTTCTCCTTACTTTTGCAACAAATGGGCAGTGTTATTTCAATTAAGGCTAATAATTGTTGATAATACAGAGTAAAACAAAGGAGAAAATTTGCTAGATTAAGGCTACTAATCGGTCATAATGCAGGGTAAACCGCTAAAATAACGAAGAATTTGTAGAAATTCACAAAGGAGTGTTGCGTTTGCGTGTCGTGTAACAGTAATAACAACCATTTTTATATTTGTAACTAAACATATATATTTCAACATTGATTGTAATATGTAATGAGATGGAACATAATATAATATAATCATTTACAAGAACAGAAATTTAAATATTGTTAATATCGCTCAATTTTATAATCACGTGTAAAATATCATATTAATTTATTCACAGTATAATTTGATGTATCGAAACAGGCGAGTAACCCTGTCACAGCTGTTTTGTATATTTTAACAATGTCTGGAAAAAGTACGTCCAAGCCTATTTTTTATTACCAAAAGTAAATAAAAAAATATACGCAGACCAAATTAAACTTACTTTACGTCAAGTTATTTTTTTAAGTTTCTTATTATAAACTACCAGTCTTAGTTTATTACTCAATTCACACAATCATTAGGCAATTGTCAATGAAAATAATAGAAATATACACCTGTAACATTTTAAATCTAAATTTCAATAGGAATGTTTTAACCTGTAATAATATAATTTCTAATTATTATGTTGAAAGCCTAATGTTACTGATTTATATTTATAGTAATATTGCATTTTATTTTAGCAGATTAAACAATTTTTGGAATATGTTATAAGTAAATATTTTTGAAATTTCCTTTTTTAAAATTTACAAGTTATTTAATGTTAGGTAAAAATAACTAGGTCACAGCACAAAATTTTATAGTTTAGTTACAGTAATAATTGACAGGCCTCATTTGTATTTAAAATTTATACACAATTTAATGCGTCAATAATCAAATATCAATCAAATAAAAATTTACAAGTAAAATAATTGTTGATAACAATATAACAAAAATTTTACTATTACAAGAGAATATAGCATTCGCGGCACAAATACATTTAGCACCTAGCCTCATATGATATAATTGAAATACAAAATTATTAATCGTCTTTCAATTTCAAAGGTTCCACTTCATCCGGATTGTCAGTCATGCTGGTGGCAGTGTCTGTGCGAGTCTTATCAACTGGGTACAACCTGCAATGAGACAAATTGTCACTCATGAATTGTGAGACATTATTTAATCTTATTTTTTACCAGAACTTGTAATTCTAGTCCCAAACTAAGCCAAGCTTTTACAGATACTATGTAACTGATAAAACTAGTAAAACATATTTTTCTTTTGTAAAGAAATACATATCAGGCATTCACAAAAACCCAGTTACTAATACTATGTTCAACACACAATACTTTTCCAGTAGTGGGGATTGAACCCACACTCTTTGGAGTAAGAGACAGCTACACTGCTCCCAATCAGGTTTTCTGTTAGGTTCAACACACAATACTTTTCCAGTAGTGGGGATTGAACCCACTCTCTTTGGAGTAAGAGAACTACACTACTCCCAATTGGATTTTCTGGTAATGCTAAAAGGACATACCATCTTTGGTATAAGTAAACAAGGAAGACCAAGTCATCGCGGAAACAGGCAACGCGGTGGGCGGTGGGCATTGTGATAATGAAGGCGAACACGTCGTCGATGAAGGTGTTGAATGCCTTGTACATGAAGGCGCGCCAGGGGAGCGCCGCCACAGAGCGAAGGCGGTAATTTACGAACAGCTGCGGCAGCATGAAGAGGAATCCAAAGGCATAAACACCATTCACGGTGCTGTGCAACGCCCACGAGTACCAGCTGAAAGGGAAACTTGGAGTAAAAAAAGTGGACCTCAATAGGTCCCAAATGAACCAGCAATGGGAAAATTTTTGCTACTCAAAGAGCTTGTTGGAGCATTACAATAATCTATAATAGATAATATATAGTGTACCTTGGACTCACAATCAAAGGATATTCAAATTCAAATTCTTCTATAGGAGTAGATAAGGATTGAAAGATGTCAGTATATGTTTATAAATCTAAGAGCCTATCCATTTTCATAACGAGGGCAAATCTTTGATAGACACCACATGTCTTACAGGAAGTTTCTGGGAAGTTGAGCAGAGTGACTATACTTTGATAATACTAGGTTCTTCTTTAGTTACAAATTGGGGAAATTCATTGAATACCCTTTGTGCGGCTCGTAGAGCAGCGAGTATAGGGCGCCGGCGGCACACAGCGGGTACAGCAGCATGGCGAGGTATCGCATTGCCTCCGCATCGGCGCGCGCCGTGCTCTGCTCGCCCGCATCAGTTCGCACCTCGCGCCAGACCCGCACCCGCCAACGCGACACCGCCACGCGCACATGCAGCACCTTAGTCACCTTCCAAAGCTGTAAAGAGATTACGAATTAGTATTAGTACATGTATAATTTATGGTCATTTTTATTTTAATTTATATGCTACTCAAATATATTATATAGTTCTCTAGATAATATTTGTGAATAATGAAATTGAATTTTGCTCCTGACAAGTTATTAGCTCCATTTTTTAAGCATTGTAAAAAATTTAAGAAATTATCAAGTTAAAATGATGTTAAGATTACCTCAATGACAGCACTAATGCCTGCCGGTATGAGAACTAACAGAGATGTCTGCTCATCAAGAAGGTAGAAAAATATGATAAGCTGAGAAAACGCCCGCCATAATACTGTACGTGCTGACAGACCAGCCAATGAACGCTTGCGACGCCAAAATGAAACATCGTTCTTGAATGCGAGGAAATCGAATAACAACTGAAAAATAAATTATCAATAAGCATAATTATATAATATGGTTAGGTAAAAATTTCCATTAGCATCTGGGCATTTTCGACCAAACAAAAATTTTTTTTGGTAAAGAAAAATTACTAATGAAATAATCAACAAGCAGAATTTGGTGGGCACTTATAGTTTTTGAGAAAAAAAATTTAAAACTTGTTATTTTCACTAAAGAAATCTGCCATTTTGTTGATGACAACATGTATAAATTTAAGAATTCACAAACTTCTAAATTATAACCTCGCATTATTAAAAAAAGAATCTTTAAAAATACTAAAAATATTGTTGCACTAAAGTTTTCTGACTGGTTATAAAAAAAAGAACCAAGATCTTTTAAACCGAGTCAGATTGCTGTCGGATCTGTCACTCTTTAAATAAAAAAAAATCTTTACCCACTCCCTATATTTATCCTGTAGTACTGTGTATTCAGTTTTTGAAGTGAAATTAGTAAAATGGTGAACTTTTTTAGTGAAAATAATGTTGTAAGTAATTTTTTTTCTCGAAAACTATAAGCGACCACCAAATTCTGCTTCTTGATTATTTCATTAGAAATTTTTTTTACCGAATAAAATGTTTGGTCGAAAAACATCCGGACGTTAGTGGAAAGAAATGCCTGTGGTTATTATAGTGAAAAAAATTTTCTATGTCTACTTACATGAAAGCTTGCTATTAATACAGTGGCTGAAAGTAAATATAAGTTGGTATCTTCAAATATGCCTTTTACATCATCAACATCTTTTTCACTGAAACCAAGGCTATGCAATTGCTCTAATGCCAAACGAACATGCAATGCCAGCCGTAAAGAACCATATGAGGTGGGTGTTACAGTCACAGTTATATTGACATCAGACATACTATTATTTAATAACTGCAAATGATTTATTCTTGATTTCAAAACATTATGTATAATAATTGGTAAGAATTTTCCATTTCGAACTCTAAAACCACAAAATATTTTAAAACATCTATGACAATACATATATAAAATTGAAGTATTTATAAAGGTAAAAATAATATTACCTCATATAGGGCAGCAATTCTCCAGGTATTTTTGCAGGAAGATTCAATTTATCTGTTAGTACTGACAATGGAACTAATGTAGATATATGAGAAAATGGTTTAATACTTTTATAAACTTCTTTGTCATTACCCATCTGGAACTTGCAAGAAATAAATTATATATGCATTGCTACTTAAAATAGTTAACAGTTACTTTCATACACAAAAACATAGAATATAGTAACTTGTGTTAGAATAACTTACATCATCTTTAAGGAGATTAAATGTGGCAGCTTGAGGTTCAACATAGGATACTAGAGGAAGTGTATGCATGGCCTCTGTTTCACGTAACTCCGTGAAATCTCTATATAAACGGCTTTCATCCAATAAAACCGCATGCATGTACAATGTTCCATTATTTCGGGTTTTTCGCGGTATTTTGAGGTTAACATTTCTGCCAATAATATAAAATGTATGAAAAATGTAAGTTTCATTTCATTTATATTATAAAAAAATTACTAACATAGAATTTTGACTACGATAATCAATTTTTACAGAAGTATGAACTTTCGTTACGGATTCTGCTGCAGAGCCGTCTAAGCGGGGATACTCTTTTATGGATGTATATAAAACAAGGTGTTGTATCGGGTTTGATATCAAATAAGATGAAAAGCATCTTTCGCCACGACGACACTCAGGTGGAATAAAAATTTCAGCTAAAGTCCATATAGTATGAATGATATAAACACCCAATATTAAAGAAAGAATAAAACTGAATGAAATATACTGCATTATTAGAAGACTGACGATAATGTAAATAAAAATTATTTTAAAACTACAAATTCATATTTTGCAATCTGAGAATTTACGATAAAATGAATGTGATGTGAAAATTGTGAAAAGTAGTTAAAAACCAATAAGTATTAAATATGTTCAACTATGTTCTAAAATTCTGTGACGTGAAAGACTGAAAGTGACATGAATTGCGGGTTTGTTGGGATTGTCAAGGATCGACGTAAACACTAAACAGCACACCACAGAACAATAGTAAACAGTGACATAGACAAAGTTCTAAACCCTATTATATAGTTCTTATAAATTTCTTTTCAATTTCAATGTAAATTTTAATAATAAAAAAAAATTATAAATACTTAGTGATATTTTTTAATATAGTAGTAAAAATAATGACCAAATAATTGTACAGTGTAAAACTATAAATATAACTATAAATTGGATGGAAAAAAGTTAGTTCATCTCAATCACTCTATATCACAATGTATGTGAGACCTTGCCTATTATATCTATAATAAAAACAGCAAAATTGGGGAGTATACGAAATGCTTTTTTTTTTTTCAGGAAAAAAATAGCTTATTACATATAATTTCATAATTTTTAAAGATTGCAACACAAATGGTTTACATGGGCAATAGTACAGGGACGTAATAAATCGGTGTCGCCTAGGAAATAATATTGATGTTTCACAAGTTTAAAGAAATTTAGAGGTATGTTCCCTTATTCAATAACCTATTACTATGTTTTATGAAATACATAGTGGGATAATGCATACAGCTAATGTGGCAGTGTGTTTTGACAGATGACATAGATGTTGATATTTTGTTTATATTGCAGGATGGAACATATTCGTGTGTGTTAGTTGACGGTAACTGATTTAAAAAAAATCTGAAATTTAACAAGTAAAAGATGGTTGCATATCAACATCAAAGACGCTCAGTCTTCTGTGGTCATGAACGCTAAAGATTTGAAAACGGATTCTGCTCTGGGTGGACGGATTAACGATGGCAGCACAAAGTACGCCCAGAGCGGCAGTTCTCATCAAAATAACCCAAATAAATCCTACCAAGATATTGGAACTAATTCATTGGGTAAAGTGGATGTACAGACCTCGCGGCCCTGCGCGATAATAGGTCCAGATCGAGTACTACCATCTCAAAATTGTGGCGAAGGATACATAAAAAAGACAACAACCGAACCATGGCCCTGTGTAGACAACATATACAGGCAACCATCTGATTATACAAACAAAATTTCTGAATATCAACCCACCAGAAACATATCTCCTAGACAAACATTCCAAGAAAACATGCAAAGGATTATGGTTTCACCCTACAGTTCCATGAAGAAAACTGATGACCCTAACTTTCCTGTGGACAGAAATATTGCGATGTTAAAAGACGTGAAGTTAAGTGTGCCTTTGGAAACAAAGTATTGTGAAGTGCCTTATACAGTTAATCCAGCTTGTAATGAACAAAAAAGTGTCAGAATTTCTGATATGCAAGTTACCAACACAAATCCCGGTTTGCCTAGGAATCCGCCTCATGGGTGGCCACACACAAATATAAACATGAGATCATTAAGATCTTATGGTGTCCCAGAGCTCTACCAGTACCCTGATTATCCCAGTTGTACCGGTCCAAGGCCACTGCCTATGGTCAGGCCTCAAAGGATAGTTCATGATGAGTGTGGTAGAATGTATCCGGAAACATATTACCAAGATGCAAATATACGTTTTAGACCATATCCACCAACAAAAGGAAGGTATCCACATGGCAGGTATGAATATGTTAGTAATTATTCAAACACATTCCATCCATCGCCACCATTCCCTCCTCAGGCATATGATTCTCAGAAGTCAGTGCCTACACATTCATATCCTGTATATCCACAAGTGCCAGTTAAGTACATTGATAGAAGGACTGGTGAACCTGTTATGGATGGATATCAAAGACCTAATCCTCAAGGTAATATTAATGTAACATACCATAACCCAATAATTCACGCACCTTATGGGCCTTTACAAACAAATTGTGTTCAAAACATAGTACCTTATCCATCAGAAAATTCTGCTAAAGCTGTGCCTTTAAACAAATTACCTTATACAAATAGTTCTAAGATTTATGCTGATTATGAAATATTACAGAATAAAAAAGTTCCAATTGGAGCGGAAACAATGTATGCAAATGATTTAAATCGTATACACCCAATGAAAGGTGAAACAGCGTATCCTAATTTCTCAACTGTTAATATGCATGGAATACCATCGCAACACACTCTTTATCGCCGGGAAAATATTTCATTAAAAAATTTTGAGTATATTCCACATCTTAAAAATTTAGAACATCCAGTTAACTTCCGTAATCAATTATTAAGACATCCCATACATTTTTCTCCAAATTCTATAGCCATTTCTCCATCAGATTCCAATACTAGCAATGACACCGCTCAAACACACAGTACCAGTCAAGAGGACTGTGGTTATGTAAGTCAGTCATCCACAACTAGTGGACGTAGCCTAGACTTACATTTTAATGGAATACCAAATGAACATCAATTGTATAGGTCACCTGATAGATATGGTTACCTACCTAAAAATATACAAACACAGAACTCCAATAGTATTAAAAGTATGAAAGTTAAAAAGGACATAAATGTCAGACAATTTCTACAAATGTGGAATGAGGGAGATGATGAATCAGGTGAACAAAATAAAGATGAAAACATTGCAAAGGATTCCAACAATTTGATTAACTTACCTAGTCAATATGAAAATACAAGTAAACAAGAACAGCTATATGTTCTGGGATTAGTAAATGTACCAAGTGAAGAACTGGGCAAATATGACCATATACAAAAAATTTCTAAATTACCAGAAAATATTAAGGGTTATAATAATATTGAACTCCTAACCCAATTTGAGGAAGTAATTGAATCATCTAATATAAGAAATATTAATACAAAAACACAAAGGATATCCATGCCAAAACAGTCCGTAAAAGCCATTCCTCGGCCTGTATCACCACTGGATGTAGAGGCAAAAATAAGCCAGTCTGTTATACATAAAGAAGTGGGTTGTAATTTTGAAATTAAGCCATGTAGTCCAAAAATGTTAAATGTTGAAATTGCTACACCAGTTGAAAACATACTAGACGAAAGAATCATAGAAAAAGTATCTAACCCCATAATTACACAGCCTATTATATTACATAAAGCCGATAAAATTAATATTGAAACTAGTAATTATTCCAATACTTCTCATTGTGAAAAATCCTTAAAAGAAGTTGTTTCAGTAGCAAGTTGTAATATGGAAAATTTAAAGTACACAAATGATAATTCTTTAGATATCAAAGAAAATTATAGCTTACAAGAATTAGAATATAATTCAAGTGTATGTCTAGCATCCTTACCTAGATTAGATAACGATATTGAACTAAACTTTCCAGAAATAAACCAGCAATTTATCAATGCTAATAAAATTGAATCTTCAACATCATCAACAGCTTTGAAAGATGTACCCAGTTTAAAAACTGGCGACCTAGAAAGAAATATTAATAACGAACAGGCAGGAAAAATAAATGAAATGGCACATTACTCTCCCAATAGGGAAATTGATAAAGAAATCACAAAATTAAGTAAGTATCGCAAATTGAAAAAGTCAGATTTGGACCAAAAAGAAATTCAAAACCAAACTGAAACACATGAAACTTTAATTACAACACAATTTAGAACTGATAGTGTTATTATCAAAAATCCAGATAATGTTAAAACACATGACACTGAACATAGTCCCCTTATTGTTCAGAATATAAATAATAAATCTAATATTAATTACTCTGAAGTAAAACAAAATGAAAATGCCATTATAGAAAAAGGTTTGGTTACTGATAAAAATCAAAGCATTTACACTTCTAATGAGAATATTTCTGATGTAGCAATTGCAATAGATTTTAGTTTAAATAAAAGCGATATTGATTTACAAAAAAGTAGCCAAAAAGAAAATACTGCTAATGAATCCTTACTAAATTTTATTGAAGAAAATATAAAGATATCAGAATCATATGGAAACTCCCATTTAACGACGATTGCAAACGATAAATTAAATGTTGACAATAGAGAAATAGTTGAACCTGCTGATGGTTCAGATAAAAACACAAGTTTAAAATTATTAAATAATGGCGAGCAAAAACGTGAAACACATGATGTAATAAAAACCATTAAAGAAAAAGATAATGTACAATCAAAGTTAGAGTTAAGTGACTCTACAAATGTGAGTGATTTAATACCTAATGATACTGAAGTTGCTGATTATGATTCACTTCCTAAAGCAGTTCATAATACAAATGAATCTTCGCTCAACTGTTCAGAAAGCATAATTTCAGGCGTAAGTCCACATACTGAGGATGTATCAGAAGCTTCAAGTGAGCTTTGTCATGCATGTCTTAAAGATAAAAGTCATGAAGAAACTTACCCGATCTGCGAGAATGATTATGAAAGAGATATGTTTAGTGACAAAGGTGCAAAAAATGACGCTGATAAGGTCATGTCCATTGAGAAGAATCAGATGCTATCTAAGGAGCCACATCATGTTTATATAAATAGTGAAACTACTAAGCATTTGAACTTACATTGTCAAAATGTTGGGAGTTCATTGGAATCAATAATCGTAAGCCAGACTCAGGAGAAAAATAAAAATATTAACAGTGAATATAAAGAAAATGTGGAAAAAAACATTTTAACAGAACATAAGAAATGTGAAAAAAGAAGTACAACTGACAAAGAAAGCAAAATTAATAAACGATTATATTCTTCTATAATTTTCAACCTTATGATAAGTAGTGTTGAAAAATCGAAAGAAATTAAGATAACACAAAATATACAACCTAGTTTTAACCAAAATATAGAAAATACAAACACGAACAAATGCACCAACCAATCAATATCTTTGCTTGAAAGCAATGGAATATTGCTTTCCAAAACAGTGACTAGGTGTACAGAAAAGCCGGGAACTATCGATACTGTAAGCTCAGAAAAATCTGTATTTAGGAAAGAATTCGAGATTCTACGTTCTGAAATAACTGTCGTTGAGAATATGAAATTGCATAAGGAGAATTCCTGTAATAATAATAAAACAAACTGTACAGCTTCAAACCACGATACAATTGAAATTAAAAATAATTCTTTAGAGCGAGAAAAAACAGATTCTGAAATTAATAATACCAATTATATTTGTTGCGAAAGTTCTGAGAAAATGGATAATTGCATTATAAATTGTAACGGTACAATGAATGAAGAGAAGGAAACGTTACTATCATATGAAATAGAGACCAACATGGATGAAAAACAAATTGAGTATATTCCTGTAAACGAAGTTGCCAATATTTCCGAACATAGACATAATAAACGTAGCGTTCGTCTCAAACGCTCATTATCTGATTCTGCTTTAAATATTAACATTAATAAGGAGCAAAGAAACATTAATAATGACTATAATATTCCCAAAAAACGTAAAAAAATAAATCCATGTGAGTTGACGGAACCTAATGTAATTGCTGAAAAATTATGTAATATTATTCAAACAAACAGAAGAAATTCTATCTCCACTTTGTATGGCAAAGAAAATGTTTCGTTCTGTATCCTAATAGATAATTCTTCTGATTTAGATGATGAAAATGTATATTCCCAAAAAATCAGTTTAGCTGAAATACCAGAAGATGCGTATGAAGGCGAATTAAAAGATAACTGTATTCTTACGACCGAAAATGTTATATTTACAGATGATTCATCTAATAAAATAACATGCTCATTAATGGAAGATTTGGATACGAATACAAACATAGAATTGCAAGATTCGCCACCTGTTAATAATTTCATTCCAGAATATACCATGAATGAACAAACTGAAGACAAAACTTTTGGTGAGGCATGGATAGAAGATGTCGCTTGTATAGAAACTATTAGTGACGAGATTTCAGAAGACATTAATTGTCTTGATCCACCATCTACACCAAAAGATAACCATGAACTAGAATGTGAAAGTGGCATACCAAATGACTCGTTAATTTATAACGACATTGACCATATGAATAAAATTAAATGTATTTATGGTAGTGAAATGTGTAATGACGATGCGGATCTCGTAGAAACATTATATAGAACACCACAAATGGACGTTAGAAAAACTCTCCTCCGAAGAGAATCTCAATATTCGGATGAATGCACTCGATATTACGATAACGATTCGTTAGAGAAAATTTTGTCAGAGTCAAATTATAAAGAAGAGGTAGTATCAGACTCTGAAAGCATTAAGGTGAAGACTAATGTAGCATGTTCCGACACATTACAATCCAAAATTAAACAAGATGATAAGGAAAACCTAGAATTCGAAGCTTCACAAACAGCTTTTAATTGTCAACCCGGATATCCTATTTCAGATTGCTATGACAAGGCACAAAAGTCTCCAGATGACACTATATGCGAACCTACGCAGTATGATATAGTTCATTCCTGTGAATCCACTTGTGATTATTCGGTTTCATACAGACGCCCATGTGAAAACCCGAGATATTCCATTTCTAGTTCCCCTGAAGTTTCATCAACAACATCAGAAGAAAAAAGTTGTGGGATTTTATTAAAAATAACAAACTGCAATGGATCTATATCATCTCAATTAAACGAATTTAGTTCTAAAAGTACAAATAAATTAAGTTCTAAATCCTCCGACGCGAAAGAGATAGTAAATAACGGTAGCAACATATCGAGAAAAAGGCCACTTATTACAAAGGCTGCACAAAAATACATTCCACCGTTAAAAGAAACTATCCCTGACTTGAAAGTTAAGCTACCGTTGCCAAAGCATAGTCTTAATAAATTAAAAATACTAAAAAAATCCAAAGATAAACCAAAGCTTGATAAAGCTCATAGTAAAAATCATAATTTGGTTAAGCCACACAATCCAAAGAAAACTAAACCAAAATTTGAGGATGTTCTTAAAAGCATAGATGAATTACAAATAAAAATGCACAAGGAAAAAAATAAAAAACAAAAGCAATCCATTCCTAAAGTAGTTATTAAAAAAAATGAAAACGGTGCTCACTATGCAAGCACCTCAAATGACAATAATACATACAATCCGGATCTGACAGGAAGAAAATGGCAACCTTGGGTATTTATTGAAAAAAATTATTTTATAGATAAAATGGCGTTAAATAAAAAAGTAAAAGCTGTATTCAATTACAGAAAAAATACATATGTCTTAGCTGAAAAATTTCGAAAATATAAATCGATCCATAATGCCAAATTTGTCATAACGCAACCAAAATTTGAAGATATATCGTCAGGAAAACTAAAATACACAATACGATTAAAGCAAAATTACTAAGGTAATTTGTTTAAAGAATTATTTGTCCCAAAATTGATAGAATATTTAAGCTGTATTTCAAGCTGTTAATCCTCAAAACCCACCCTTGAAATGGTCTCTTTTTGAGAAAAAATACATTCCTTTTATTAGATACATAGAGAGAAGTTATACCCATAGTTACCTATTTTAATTATTAAATTAATAGATATAGCATTAAAGCCAAAATTTTATTGTGATTTTAAAACAAAGAAATATTTAGGTACTGTGAACTTAATTTGTAGTGCAATCTGATCAGATCTGTATTTTGTTATTTTGTTTCAAAGTTTATGTATAGTTTTCCTTATCTGTCATTCCTCAAGTTAATAATTATGAAAATATTTCATACATTACATACGCGGTTTTTATATGATATATTTGTTTGCTTCTATTGATAAAGATTCAAATATCGTTGATATTTCGAGTTAGTAATTTGTTTCTATAAAAATCTTTGAAATTGTAAATATAGTTTATCGTGTGATTAAAGCCTTAGACTAAGAGATATTATATTGATATTCATATTGTAGCACCAGTTTTGCAGTGATTGACATAATGATAATGTTTTGAAATTTATACAAGACACGCGGGAACACTTTTATTTTTCATATTGCGAGACCTTTACATATAGTTAGTAAAATATTTGTAAAACAACAAACATTAAACCGTTATTGTGATCGCAGCACTTGTGTGGTCAAATATTGCTCACGTAAGTTCTAAGCACACTATTTATAAGAATTTTACGTACTATTAGTTTAGCATAAAAGTACAAAGAGAGCACTGTATTTATTGTTAAATAATGCCTTTTAACTAATATATATTAAAATCATACTATGGCTATGTTATTGAAAAATATTAGCAAACTAAATACTCACAAACGTAGCTAATCTGTGTATATTATCCAATATATGAATCATTCTACTGTTATTTGCTAACTGCCATTTCTCAGAAGTTGGTCTAAATATAAGAACATAATATGTATGCTTATAAATTTATAATAAAAACCAAGTGCCTCGATTTTGTTATAACGCGCCGCATTTTCCTAATACATGTGCATCAAAATACACCGTAAAGTAGTGCCTTTGAGTATATTTCGCTTATTAGAATACAACTATTGTTGATTCTGTTTAAAATTATCCATAAAAATAAAATATTAAATTGTTCCTAGGTCCTATTCCAATAGCCATTGTCAAATATACACGAAATTTAATCGGATGCAGAGCTATTACAAACACACGGTTACTGTTCAGAAAGTATTATTTCTTTATAAAAACTTTAACCCAATTTGTTATCCTTTAGTTGTTATTTTCCAAACTAGTAAAATTACCAAGAAATTCACTTCGAAATCGCAATTTAAAAAACGCAGTGCTTCTCTATAAGCCCTTACCAAAATTGTTTGGAAAACGTTAACCGTTGAAATTATGGTGTTAGCAGAACGTAAGCTGTGCTGTAATTTTCGCGAACCTTTACGCGTAACCGCGCGCAAATTTTTACATGTTTTTAAAATATATCTTGTCCAGAGAAATGTTTATATTCGGAAGGCATGTAATGATCTCACACTATAGACAATTCCCATTTTAAACTTGTGCGTGTTAGTGCCTAAATCATAACTATTAATACACTATTTTTATACTGTATACAGGGTGTTGAATAAATATACCAAATATGTGCTTTTACATTGAGCAAGTGTTGCCTTCGTAGATAATTATTAAAAAAAAGTAGTGGCTAAGTAATCTATTTACTTCTGGCGTAGTGTATGTATGTGTAAGTGGATAATGAACTGTTATTTATTAAAGATAGAATATAAGGGGGTTATTGTAAAAAACAGATTAATACGTTTCTAATTGTACAAAAGTCTTTATCTTGCTCACATAGAGAGCAGTACTTTTATTACAGATTAATTTCACGTGTTACGTGAAACATCTGAAGTGGTCAGGAATATGGCATGTTTATAAATTAATAAAATTATAATAAAACTAACATATAACATACATTCCGTCTCGATTAAGTTACAATCTGAAAATTATGTATAATTTATTTAACATGCCATTCTTTGAGGCTCAATGTTGTTTAATTGATTATTACCAAGTTTTGAAGGTGCAAAATGTTAACTTCACCTTTGTTTTTGAATTCCTTGTATGTTTGTTAGCACTGTTGACTGGTTTGTTAAGTTTAATTTTTCTGCACATCGTTGGCCATTCTTATATTATTATATATTAATATTTTACCACGGTTATAGCACTATTTAGTTAAGGGTTACGGAGTAATTTTTATTTATAGTAATCATAGATTTTATTGTTTTGTGTTTTAAAACGTTAATGCATATCTTTTATGCCAGTAACGCACGTGATAGTGTTTCGTGATAGACGTTGTGTAGTTATTGTCAACCACACACGCGCTATAAATATTGAAATGCTATAAAGTATTGTAAACAGTGCAGTGTGTGCGAAGAATCAAGCATATTTTAATTGGGTATATTGTTTTGAGTGGTACCTAGTTTTGAAAATTGTTCTAAAATTGACCAAATAAATGTGTTCCAAATAAAAATGCAACATTTATTTTAGTTCTTTATTTAATAATATTTACACGGGTATGTTCACCTTAACGGCTTCTTGTCGAATGGCACTTATTAGATCTTGATTGACGAGAAACACGAAACGGAGACCAGCGATCTGTAGATAATAAATTCATTTCAGCGATATATAAAAATAATAAAACACATTAAATTAAAACAATGTATTTGCTGAATATACTACTAAGTCAAAATAAAGAGAAAGTAGTAGTATTAACCAGATTTACTCTGGCTACTATTACTACTGAAAAAGAGGTAAATAGAGATAAAGAGAAAGGAGTAAAAATATTAACCGAACCTCGATGACGCTATTGTGATTCAATTTGACTTTGTTCCCCTGGAGGACGGGACGACCGTCGACGAATATGGGCCTTTTGCCCTCTGATGACATAAAAAAGTCCCCACTGTTACGCAGGCGTATTGTGGCCTGCTTTCTGGACACCTTCGCAGCCGGGCCCTCCAAACTCAAGTCCACGTCTATAGTGTGGTCCCGGGTGCTGCGGCCGACGGCAATCTGAACGAAGAATAGTTTTCATTAGAATAAAGAATTTTTGCACCGCCTTAATGTCCACGGTACTATATAGAAGAAGACAAAACTATTTTAAGGTATTTGTGATGGCGATGGCCCGACCGACATTGAAATTAACATGTATAAGTGTCGACGTCAGGATATTTTAAAAAAGTAGTATGAATGATTAAAGTATTTACAAAAAGTAACAAAAAGCCTACAATTATAGATATAGACATTGTTAATTTCTATATACAAATATTTTTTCTCAAAGGTTATGTTTACGGAACTTTATTACTTCCATAATTCTTCATCGAATTTATTGACTCGAACATAATTTTTATTTTCATTTTAACCACAAAGCTTATGTTTGCCGCTATTGACAAAATATAGACGAATAGAATAAAATTAAGGTTTTCATTAAAAAAAAACTTCATATGAAGAATGTACGATCTATTGACAATATGTTCAAGTGAAAGATAGCTTCATTGATACATACTTATTTTCAGATTATTATATTAGTAGTTATCATTAGATGACTGACGAAAATTTCGTACTGGTCAACTAGTATTACATAATTCTATTTAGCAGCACCAACAAGGTTAGGTTCTACGTTTTAAACTTCCTAATTAAGCATGAGATATACCTGCAACATTCTGTACCCGGCCTCAAAGGTACGGGTATCGCCGTGGTGCTAAAACCCAGTATCAATATACCTATAAGTATTAGTTATGTTCAGGCCTCCTTTTGGAGACTCAATCGAATCAAACGAATTGAACCTTTGGTTGGAACATTTAGATGTTTTTTTAAGCAATCAGTTTTTTTTGAAATTGAGATTTAATCAGTCTAAAATAAGCTCCATCTTTACTAACGTAAAGAACTCTATTACCAAAAAAAGTAATTCAAAATAAATATTACTGTTTAACCTTATTACGCAATTGTTTATCTACCTAACTGCATAGAAATAAAGAATTATTTCGTATAAAATGCCATAGGCGATCGAGCGCCAACGTTATGAAATACCCCACCGTCTGACGAGGCGGCGATAGGTCCGCGTACTCGCGAGCGATATCGACTATACCTATCGGGTCTGGAACGGGCCTCTGCCGTACATACCCGGTCTGCATTCTGGTACGTTCATACTGGGTATTTATACCTGTTCCACTATATACGCCTCATCTCTACTCCTGGTTTTGTTATTTACATTACGACAATCAAAGTTATTTTTCAAAAATAACATTTCGGTAATGTTTCTCTACCAATAAAAATAATAGAAGGCGAAAGCTCATTAATATATAAAAATGTACACCTAAAGAACCTAACCTAACCTATCGGTTTCCACTGCTTTCTCCAACAAAGTAAAAACGTTCCCTCTTAAAATTATTGACAAAAACTTATTTTATATGTATCGCAATCACGGATTGCAAGATTGAATTATTTTTTTCTTTTGTAATTTAAATATAAAAATTTTGTAAATATATAACTTCGATTGTCGTATCGTAAAAAATAACTCTTTTTATCCTGGCAAGCGATTTCATAGAATATTTTATCAGCACAGCGCAATTTCAGTTGAAAACAGAAAAGACAAACAACATCAACCAAACACTAGGTACACCCACTTTACATTATGCTTAAAATTTAAATTGTTCCTCAGTTTGTTTTGTTAAATCTACTGATATTGACTTATGACACCAGTACTTAATTGTGTTATATAGTTTAACATATTTAAAACTACTGACCAAGTATACTCGCGTAAACAAGTCAACGAGCAATATAATTTTCGTATATATGTATATATATAAAGTAAAAAAAAACTATTAGAATACCGATAAAATAAACTAGGTTAGGTTTTTTGATATATTCTATATAAAATAGGAAATGTCTAGTCTACCACTAGTGGCCATTTAGTAAATAGAATTACCTAGCCTAAAATTCTACCGCTAGTTATTAAGTATTCAAATGTGCTCCTTAACGCCATACAAACAAGGTTTAATTTTAAATATACATTACAGCATAGTTGAAATAGTTGTTATAGTTGCAGTCTAACTTAAAATGCTATTCTGCCACAAGTTATTACTCATTGAAATATGTTACTTATTGCAAATGTTTTTAGACAATAAAATTACCAGTTGTTCGAAAACTCAGGGAGGATCGAAATAGGAAAAACAGTATAGGACTTAAATATCTAAATACGTGTAAATCAATCTAGGATAATCTAACCACAAGACCACATTGAATTGGAGTGCTCTGTGTCGGATTTGTTGACTGACTTTTAACCTAACCTAATCTGCTATAAGAATCCACAGAATACAATTATTTCTTGTGTAACCTATTGCGGCAGAGTAACTTAACTTACCACTAGTGGCAATATATTCATTTTTAGTAAATGGCCACTGGTGGCAAACTAGACACTTCCTATAAAATATTCCTATTATTATTTAATTTTTTTAAGTAGCCTTTACAAGGCACAGCAGTACTTTGAAGTGTGAACTAAAATTACCTCAGCTACGTTTACAAATTGTACACATTTCAATAAAAAATACATCTTCGCATATCATTTGTATTATGCTATCAGAACTTGTTTAATGTCAAAGTAGAAGTTAGTTCATTTTTCGTATTGCACGATTTTGGTAATAATAGTACAAGTACTTCAATATTGTGAATTACAAACCTAAACAAATTTGGCAGCAACGCCTCCTTATTTTTACTCGTGACATAAAATGAAACGCACAATTTAAATACATAATTTTCTTTTAAAATTTGAATAATAACACATTAAAAGGTATTGTTTTCACAATGTGGAACAAACGCATCTGCATATCGGTATTTCGCTAATTTGCACGCTTTATGGCAAAAAATAAAGTGTTAAATAGATAACTGTTACGCCTTATACGTACAACGTGTTCAGACATTGAGTGAAACTGAATATGTTAACACTTCGATAGCATTGGGTTTTTTCCACGACTGTACTGGCGAACAGCTATTCTCGCTATTATTGTGTTATTACAAACAAGATACGTGATATTTGCTCGTTAATTCCACCGATAAGGTTATCAAAGTGTACCTCGTTCCCGAATGGACACGATTGCTGGGCGAGCGCCATTCGGCTGCATATATTCCAGTATACTGACAAATACAACAAATTCAAGGGGCGCGATAGTCCCACATTGTTCCGCGCCTGCTGGAGGTCCCGAGGTCAGAAGACAATGCTGCGGTAATAATTGAATTCCGTACCAAATTGTCCATATTTTAAACAATGTCCGCATACTAAATTGTTGCCGCCTACCGTAGCTTGATTTTCGTCAAAACGTTTGGTACAACATTTTTTATAAAGTAAGTATCTACACGAGTGCCAAAACATTCGGAAAAAAATTCAAAACATTTATTTTAATGGTTATGCCAAGTAATATATAAATATTGTACATGTGTACATAAGAGTACAGTAATTAGCATTAATTAATATGTGTTTTTTTTTTTTCCTTTTTGCATTTAAAATTTAATACAATCTACTTCACTCATTATAATAGTTTATATTCTCTCGTCGACAGGGGATTTTCATGAACGTTACTTTTTTATCTCGATATTTCCACTTACCTAAAAACCGCAATACGGTGCCACCGATAAAGAGGGACAATAAAATGTTGGATCACGAAGCATTCAATACTTTTTAAGATTTATCATAAAACAGTAACTTTGTTTCGAAGAATGAGAACAGGTTAATGTTTAGTTTTTTAATCATCGCAGGGCATTACAGTTAGATAATCAGTTTTACGAAATAGAATATTTGCATTGAAATGCCGATTTTATTATAAGCAAGGAAAAGAAGGGTATGTATAAAAATATATAAACTATATTTACAAAACATCTACATCAAATAACGAATTTCACGCGTTCAATAATACAAAGCAATTAGCGTCGATGAAATTAATACAATGCAAGTCGAATTGTTGCGCGCAAAGTGTATATATTTCTGTGCAGGTCGACGGCAAACAGCGAACCCTTATCATGTCTTTAATTAAACATGGACTTATCAAATTGGTACGTATTTGCGTTTATTTCGCGCGCGTATCGAACAACATTTATATAGTTTGAAGTGAGTTTATTTTAGATAATTCTTAAGTATTTTGTTATGTCACTTGAAACGTCACACATTGGCTATTTATCCACAAAATTTACTTAGAACATCTGATGCTGTTTACTTTTGTAATGACGTGATAATAACTAATTCATCGTTTTATCACGCAATAATAAATAACATTTGTGAACGCGTAGTGAGACCCGTTAGTAACACTTATAGAGAGAATCCTTTATAATTCTGTAACTCTGATTACGATGGCATAACACCGGGGTGTCGGGTGAAGAAAATTATATGCATAAAGTTTGCATGTCTAAGCTTGCGGGCGGTAGTACTTTGAAACCCGGCTGATTAGCCCCCGTGGTGTCAACACATTCCTTTACATTCCATTACTGTCATTTGACGCACTCGCATGCAAGAAGACTGACGCCGCATACCTAGTCGTATTCGCTATCTACGTTCCAATTATCAGTGTACAAAGCGCAGTTCGAAGAAACCTTAGTTTGCATACGACGAAGAAATGCTCATTGCGACGTTGCATTCCCACTAGCCTTCGTCGCTATCGAGCTTATGTTCGCCAAATGTTATGACATTAAATAAAATAAATAATAATGATTTACGAGTCAAATGGGGTCTAGGAGAGTTACTTTGGACGTGAACTAATTGAAAACTGAACGCGGCCCTACGTTACGGAATGAACACTGTCACAAGAGCTAATATACATCGAGAATTTTACAGTGACGACTATTTGCTAACACGTACCTCTACGTTCCCCTACTCGATTGTTCAAAATCGATGTAACAAAGATTAGAATAAAAATTAGAAAAAAAATATAACATGCTTAACATACAGAGATACGATATTCACGTATGATATGTGAAATAATCTTTTTCTATTGATGTAAATAAGATAAGAATAAAAAATCAATATA